GCTTTAGTTTATGTGAGATCTGGTCCCTTTGATCTCTGGGAGTGTACACAAATATTCACATAATACATTTTATAGACACTTCAGAAACTTCGACTCCCATCCGTTTGGGCATAATGATTGTCACATGTTTGCCTTCACCCGGGAAAAGGTGTTCTTATGCTCCCCAAATGAGTAGCTTCTCAAGAAAGTAAACAAATTAAACTTAAGGAAGTGCGTGACTTACCTGGATGTGTAGCATGTTGTGCATTCTTCGCTTTCCTCTGCTACGTAATGAAATATAAACCTCTATTGGCCAAGTGTGATATTTGAAGGACTCAGTTTTACACACTTGGAAAGGATGATAAATGTTCTTTCCTAACATGTTTGTCTTCTTTCAGTCTTCATTTAGCAGAAACTAACTTTCAGGTAGAGAAGCTGCATTGCTTAGTGGCTAAAAGCATAAAGACTGGGATTTAATCAGCTGGTTTGAATTCTGGATCTTCCATTTACTACCATGTGCTTTGGTTAAATCATTTAATTTCTCTCTTTCTTTGTTTCCTTGAGTAGCAGTGGTTGAAGGAGAGCATTCCTAGCAGAAGCAATGGCTTGCACCATGTCAGAGCGGAAACCAAAGCGTGTCACAGTTCCCAAGTTTCAGTACTACTGTATTGTTGGGACAGGGTGTGGGGTGCATGGGAGCAGGCAGTGGTACACGAGGGGAGAGTGAGCAGAGATGGGACAGAAATGTAGATCTGAAGGAACTCTTTCCATAAAGGATAAAGAAGTTAGGACATAGTGGGTGTCACTAAACTATTTTAAGTATTTTAATTTCTACCTTAAGGAGAAGTTCTGCTCACTTGTTTTAAAAAAGAGGATTCCATTATCTCTAAGGAAAGTGGACTGATGGTCAGATTAATGATGGTAGACCAATCAGCAAACCATAACATTTGCCCAGGCAAGGAATAACGAGAAGCTGAACCAAGGTAGCGATGCTGGAAATGGAGAGTAAAGGTCAGATAGAAAAGGGAGAAGATCCAATGGATCCGGCTCTGCGAGCATCTCAGCGGAAAAGGAGGGAAAGTGAGTGCTTGGGTACGCTGATGCCACTTGGAAATGATGGAGATGAGGAGTCTGTCAATTCCCTGAATACTGAAGCACCCTATGTTTATAATAAATATCAAACGTTAGCATCCCTTCGAGACACCGAGAAAAAGCCCTGTTGTGCAGGTTTCTTGAGGTAGGTGTGGTGGTTTCATTCACATGTGAGACAAAGCAGTAAGGTGGTCCTCAAATTTCCTTGTGGAGTGGAAAGGTGTCGAATGCAGGTCTGTTCTCTTCTCCTGTCCCCTGGTGCTATATTCTGATGAAACTTTGTTATTCTTAACTGGGTAAAGGAGTTTCGTAACATTTTTAAGAGCTATCAGGAGCAACTTTCATAAATGGTTGAGTCGAAGCAAACATATGGGACACTGTTAAGAGCATGTGTAATAATATAAAGCTTTTGAATAAAGAGAAAAACCTCCTCTGGAAGAGAATAGCTTGCATACTATGATTGGTCTTTAGTGCCCTCTATTGGCTATTTAGTCTAAAGCAACATCTTGATTCTTGAACACAAGTGTTTCTTGCCAAAAAAGAAAAATTAGAGATTTAAAAATTAGGACAAAATATGCTGAAATCTGATGGTGGCTTTAAAATATGTTTGAAGGGCCTTGGGATTGGGTAGGGGTCTTGAGAAATGTCTTTATGACACTTTCTTTGCTATAGCGTGCCTGTGACAGCCTGGACTGTATTTTCAGGAAATGGACGTTTCTGAAGAGCAGCAGCCTGAGTCAGGCTGGTGTTCCAGCACTTTTCACGCAGCAAAGCCTCAAGAATAGCATCCGCCCTGTAGGCAGTGACAGCTGCTGTTTTTCCAGAGGGTGGCTGCTACATGTGATGGCCATGAAAGGAGATGACTGTTCCTCATTAAAGGATTCTATTCAGCTCTGTGGTTACATGGTCAGAAAAGTCACCCCAGAAAATGCAGCAGTGATTGCACAAAGTGGAGCATCTTCAGAGGTGGTAGTTCCTCTTTTTTTGTTTTTCACTCCCTTCCCTCCCAGGGACAAAGAAGCTGTCTTTGGGTTCAGTGGGAGTGGGGGTAGTTTAGACCCAGTGTTTAGACTGACTAGCCGTCTAACCTGAATAAACTTTAGTAAGTCCACCTGGCTCTGGTTTAGGGTTTGAAGAAGACTGCTGTGTGTAAATGGGTGATCGCCTGCCCTTGCTACATTAAATGAAGTCGATTACTCTTTCTAGAGTACTCTTTCCAGCATGTCCTGGTGAATCTTCCTAATTATACAATTCTAATCTTTCTAATTATTTCAGCCTGTAGTATTTTGAAAATGTATTCATTCACCTATTCAGGTTAAAAATAGTCCTTTTTGATTCAGCACTATATGTAACTACAGAGATTGCTTGAAGCCAATTTAGGGAAAATCATTTATTTACTTTTGGTCTATGTTACTGTTGCAATTTTCTCTAAGAAAGTTTACTCATTATATGAAGTATTGCTAGCTGCTTTCTGTGTTTCATGAGAGGAATAAGCTATTATGTAGTTTCCCTTCCCCCCCAATAAAAAAGCCTTTCATCAAAAACTGACATCCTAAATGAAGGACATAATTGTACAGCTTATTTATTAGTGTGTCAAACTTAAAATGTAATGGTTTCATATTTCAGAATGAAAAGTGTGTTGTGATTCATGGTTGCTGGTGACAAAATAGACAGCTCTTTTTATATTACTGTACTGATTGCTTGCTGATATGCCACCACGCTCTTTTTTCCTTCTGTTCTCTTCCTGTGCAATAGCTCCCTCTGCTTGAAAATATTGGTGTAATTATAGTTTAACACTGTATACTTTATTAGTGCATTCCCTTGACTATTTTTTTACTTTTAATTCTGTTCATAAATTGTGGCACTAAATATTAGAGCGTGTAGAAAATTACCAAGGGTCTCTTAGCTGGGGGTGGAAAGGCAAGGTTAGTTGAGAAAAGCAAAATAAACTGAAGACATTATTTTTTTCCCCAAGGAGTTAGCTCTGTAGTCTTTGTTGATTTAAATATGGTAGATTTGTTTAAAATTCAGTGCAGTGCATTAGAAATGAACCTTATATGTCTAAAACATAGAGGTATAGAAAACTAGATCAGAAAAGTTCAAAAAAGTCACCAGCCCCTTCAAAAAGAGCCGGGAATGTGACAGATCTTCACTTTGTTAATTCCAAAATCTTATAATTCTACATAAAACCTGGCAGTTTTCCTCTAGTCACTCAGGAAGTATGTAACAAAAGCTGGCAGAAGTAGAGTCTCTTCCCTATATGGGACAATACGTGCATGCAGAGACAATAGAGACAGACCAAAGCAAACCAGAGCAAATGTTTTGTATCTATTTGTTGGATAAAGTAAACATTAAAGGAGTTACTGAATTGTTTTTTTTAAATTAACCAAATGTATTGATAACATCAGTGGTTTTTTTCAGTGCTTAATGAAAAGAAATATGGGATTCTCTCACTGGATGAAAAAGATCCATACATTGGTTTTGTTCATGAGTTCATTTCTGTGTATTAGAAAAGTTCTGATGCAGGGCCAGATAACCATGTCATAACTTTGCATGTTATTTTTCAGTATACTTCGTGTTTGTATGTTGCTGGGGATTTAATGCAGGGCTTTTTGTTCATGCTAGGCAAGTACTCTATAATTGACCTACAACCCTAACCCTAAATAAATAAATATTTTTATTTTTGTTTTATATATATATATGTGTGTGTGTGTGTGTGTGTATTTTTTTTTTTTTTTTGGTACTGGGGAATAATCCAGGGATACTTACCACTGAGCCACATCCCTGCCCTATTTTGTATTTTATTTAGAGACAGGGTCTCACTGACTTGCTTAGCACCTCATTTTTGCTGAGGCTGGCTTTGGACTCATGATCTTCCTGCCCAAGCCTTCCGAGCCACTGGGATTGCAGGCATTCACCACCATGCCTGACATAAATATATATATATATATATATATATATATATATATATATATATATATATATATATATATTAATACAGTGAAGTATGCTATTGTTTCCATGCCTTTTCTGAATTTAAGTGGTTTCATGAGAGGATGCTCTACTGATAACTATTTAAGAATGGAGTGCCATTTCCCATAATGCTTCTCTTAGAGCCTACTTATGGCCTAAGAGGAGTCATAGTTGGAAGTCATAGATGGGTTTGTCTTTGATCCACAGTGTGACAGTGCTTGAGAATATCAGATAGTCTTGCCCAACTCTTTGCTGACCTCTCATGGTCCAACAAAATGTCAGTCACCAAAAGTTTTAAAAAGACTTTGATATGTGACTGAGCATGCAGAAATTAAATTGAAACTGTTTAGGTATATCTTTACTTTGATATAAGCTAATATTTTTATGGATGTATAGAGAGATTTAAAAAAATGTTACCAGAATAAATATATGGAATAAATATATGAGATTCACTAAACATACACTGTCTTAAGTCCTGTTTTAGTCAGCTCTTTCACTGCTATGACCAAAAGATTTGACAAGAACAATTTTAGAGGAGGAAAGTTTATTTTGGGGCTCATGGTTTCAGAGGTCTTAGTCGAAAGACAGGCAGCTCCATTCCTCAGGGCCTGAGATGAGGCAGAATATCATGGCGAAAAGGTGTGGCAGAGAAAAGCAGTTGGGAACATGGCACTAGGAAGCAGAGAGACTCCACTCATCAGATACAAAGACATGCCTCCAATGACCCACCTCCTCCAGTCATACTCCACCTGCCTATAGTTACCACTCAGTTAACTCCTGTTAGGGGGTTAATTCACTGATTGGGTTAAGACTGTCATAACCCAGTTATTTCGCCTCTAAGCTTTCTTGCATTGTCTCACACATGAACTTTTGAGGGACATCTTACATCTAAACCATAGCAAACCTGCATATTTGTTTACAGGGAATCGGCTCATTGTTCTTTGCTTGACTCACAGGACCCTTTAGATCCCACAAGATCAGTGATTGTGATCCGCTCCCTGGTAGCAGATGGTGTAGCAGAAAGAAGTGGAGAACTTTTACCTGGAGACCGCCTGGTCTCAGTCAATGAATACTCTTTGGACAATACCACACTTGCTGAAGCTGTGGAGGTACTGAAGGCCGTGCCTCCAGGCACTGTACACCTTGGTATCTGTAAGCCTTTGGTGGTAAGTGTCGAATTTTGTTAATATAAGAAGAAATGATAATGTAATAGTTCTGGACTTTGGAGATAAATATGTCTGGCCTCTAAGTGTTGAAATTTGTTAACATAGGAAATAGTATTGTAACAGTTAAGAACATGGACTTTGGGGGCAAATACACCTGACCTTTAATTCCTGTTCCACTGCTTAATGCATCTTTGATCATAGTCAAGTTTTTTAATGTCCTTGACTTATCGCATCAGAAAAAATAATGTCTATCTCATACGGTTTGAGGGTTTAAAGAATATTATATTCAGTATGTGCTTACTGAGCACATTACTATATATCTGCTAGCTGTTAGCATTTCTAGTCTTACTAGTACCACTTTTACTATTTTCATCTTCATGTTTTGCACACAGAATCTAAGTTTCTATCATATTCCTTAATGCAAATTAAAGTAAGTATGTTTACATATTAACTTTCATTAGGGAATTATGTTAAGATAGTACAATAAGTTGAAGTCAGTCAACCACATCATTTAACATTATGACAATGAGACATTAATGCTTTTCCAGCTGTCATCAGAGTACCCGATGACTCCTAGCACCCAGAACTTCTATATGATCAAACCGTCTTATTGCTTAATGTACTATGTCAGGTCAGTCTTCCTGACAGAAGGGTACCTCAGTTATGGTGCTGTTAAGTTCCCCTGTACAATAATAATAATAATAATAATAATAATAATAATAATAATAATAATAATAATAATTTCAGTCGATGTTAAAATATTAAAGAGTGCTTACTAATGACAATATTTTAAGTCTACTACATGTAGAAGCCACATGTAGTAGTAGCTGAAGCAACTGTAAAGGTCACCCTTTTGTACTCACATTACAAATGAGTCAGTGGAGGCACAAGAGAGTCGAGTAGCTGACCCAAGGTCATATGCTAGCAGGAAGCAGAGCTGGTATATGAACTTGGCCAGGCTGCTTCAGACCCTGTGTTCCTGGCTGCAGGAACATAGGAACATGTGCTGCTGTTTGATTGTATTGTTCCTTTTTTTAATTTGTAGGTAGCATGTCTGAAACAGCTTGGTTGTGATAGGTTGTTGGACTGGATTTTAGGAAACATGAACTCTGTTTCTAGCTTTGCTCAGAGTTATAATGCCCAGTGGGTTTCAAACTCAAAAATATGTAATTTTACATAAAAATTACCTGGGAGATGTTTAAAATGCAATTTTCTGAGTCTTGCCCTCAAGAGATTCTGATTGAGAAATTTTGATGTACTATTCACAAGTCTCCCTCTTCAGTGGGTCACCTCTGTAATTTGATCAACACGTATACTACTTTTTTTCTAGTAACCTAAGTTTTTCATTTCTTAGAAGAATGAACAAGTCTAGAGAACTTCTAAGGTCTTTCTGAACTCTAAATTCTTTAATCTATGAAATATTTCAATATATTGCCCAAATAACATAAGTACTCTGCTAGCTAGCTAGTTATATTTATATATAGATAAAGGTTGATGCATTACACCTATTTTTTCTCCAAGAAACCTCAGTGTATTACTTTTTAAAATTTTTGCTGCTGAGGACTGAATCCAAGGCCTTACTCCTGCTAAGTACATGTTCTACCACTGAGCTACTCCCATAGCCCCAGTAAGTTTTTTTTATTTTTCATGTAGTACACATAAAAAGGCCTGTATATTACACTTAACAGAAACTTTAAATGTTTCAAAATATAATCTAACACATAGCTAAATCAGGTTCTTGACTTTTTGTGTATTTGGTGTATTAACCCATAAGTAATACACCATGAAGTGCTTGGTTTGATTTTTTGGACAAATTAAGGAAGGGAAAACCAAGAATATTTTCATGGGACCTCATCTCCTTGTTATTTTAGGTGGTAGAAGGAACTTTTTCTAGATTACCTAGGTGATTATTTGTTAGAATTTTGTCACCGCATGGGAAAAATCCCAAGATAGTTAGTCCTATAGGACTTAAGCAGCCCAGCCTATACCATTAAGCAGTTTTAGGAATTCTGAAGCAGTGTCAATAATGGGACTTAGTACCAAAAGAGTGTGGATTCTTGGGTGATTTCTGGCAGTCAGAGCTGCAGAAACCTCAGACTCCAGGGCCTTGCTCTAAGAGTGTTTTGGAACATAATAATTGTGGAGTGGAACTTTGCTTAGGACTCCCTTAGTGGATCCAAGGCTGCCAGCAGACTTAGGAGTGGGAGGCCAATAAAGGGATGGAGAGAAAGGTCAATTTCAAGACTTTTTTCTTTTTTAAACTATTAAGTAATTCCTTCTTTAGCATCTGGGTTCTTTTAGCAAAACTACTCAGGAGCTGTAGATTCTAGAAACCAGAAACGGATCTCCTCTGAGGTCTATGTCCCTGTCCCTTTCTTATTGTACATGGTGGCTGCGTAGCTAATGTTAACTGAGGATTTACTCAATCCATAGAAGAAACAGAGAATGAGAATGTAAATAAGAAGATCCTAAGTCAGGTTGTGGCCAAGAGAATGTGTACATATAATAGTTATGAGAACAAAATTATTTTTATTAAGGTATATATGTAATACTTAGACCTGTATAGTTTCAGTTATACATTTTCATCTTAACCATAAATGTGATTTGTCTCCTCTTTTCTGCAAACTTACCTTGAATATACCAGATCCAAAAAAACAAAAGGAAAAAAAATGAATAAGCTGACTTTAAAAATTGCATCATTCTCAGAATGAAGAGGACAGAACAGGCAATGGAACTCTGAGATAGATAGCTGTGGGCTTTGCTCAGTTCTCTGTGGTTTGCAAGGCCCTGTGTTCTTGGGCCAATCATTTTGTCTCACTAGCCCCCATCTTGCTCATCTGTAAGTTGGAGACTGCATGGTGACTGGGAGCACAAAGCTCAGTGACAGGCAGCTTGAGTTTGCTTTCTGGATATGTAACTGACCAGCTGTGGGATATGGGGCAAATGGCTGTACTTCCTTCTCCACATCAGTAAAATAGAGTTAGTATGAGCTCCCACTTTTTAGAGCATGTATTAATACATTAATTAGTGTGTTAAGTATGTTTAAAGTACTTAAACATATACCTGGTGGATAGCTATATATATAAATCACCAAGTAATTTTTCTTTAAGGGATACTTAAAGTTGAGAAGCCCTGACCTAAGTATATCTTTCCTTTTTTTATTTTTTAAATTAATTTTTTATTTGTAGTTTGACACAATACCTTTATTTTATTTATTTATTTTTATGTGGTGCTGAGGATCGAACCCAGGGCCTTACACATGCTGGGCAAGCGCTCTGCCACTGAGCCACAACCCCAGCCCATCTTTCTTTTTAATTATGAAAGTAAATTTGTTCTAATGATACAATTTGCATAAATTTTGTTGTGTCCTTGTACAATATGAGAATTAATCTGAAGAAAGTTTGAAGCTAAACTCATGAAAGTGGTTTATATTTTCAGGAAGATGAGAAAGAAGAAAGTTGTTACATTTTACATTCAAACAGTAATGAAGACAAGACTGAACCTCCAGGAACAATTCTTGATATGAATTCATCTTTAATACTTGAAGCACCCAAGGTATGTAGTGAATTTCCCATCTGAATGATTTGCTGTGCTAAGGTTTTTCTAAAGAAGACAAAGCTTGTCCCACTCCCTTGGTTAAGTAGATACAAATTAAAGAATCCCCATTCACTTGTTACTATTATTATTTTTAAAGTGAAATCTTTTCCTTCCTGTATTACTTTGATTCTTTAAAATGATACAAGGAATATGTACGGCATTTCCAAAGAATGAACATTTTATTTTGTATCACTAATATAATCCTCAAATTTGGGGAGGAGAACATATTGTTGAAAATAGACGTGTATTTTAAATGCTGTAGAAAATGGAACTATACAAAAAAATTTCATTTTGAATACTTTCTTTAGTCAAACCCCACTTTAGGCTATAATTGTAGAAAGTGATTTTGGAAGTTTTCCTCTTGATTTTTAAAATAAATTGTGTTTTATTCTTTGCAATTAAAGTATGGCTTGCTTTGCTTGATAACTCATGTCTGGTGACATTCTTGGCAACTGTGTTGACAGTGTCTCACACTGATGGGTGTTCCTGTAATGTCCATTACATTTTATTTTAAAAGACTAGACTTTTCTGGTTAAAATTTCCTATCTATGTGATATGTTCAAATATACCCTCTAATTAAAGTTTATTTTTTCACATAACCAGGTTGCATTATTTGATATTAAATTTATATTAATTTAAAAGCTTCACCGCGATGATGTTGAGCTGTGTGAAGAAAGCAGTGGGAAAGAGTAGAATTATCCCAGGCATTTATATCCCGTAATACTTAGGATAGGAATTATCATTGATGTCTTAGAAGGAATTGGGCCTCACTGGACTCTGCACTGACAGGTTCCCCAGGGTTAAGTCAGGGGCTCTGCAAATCCCAGTTCCATATATACATTAGGCATTAGCCAGAAACTCAATAAAATTTCTGCACATGTAGAACTATTTACTTTCAGTGGTATGTACTGGCTTCTAATTAGTGAAATTATAAGTTAATTGAAAAGCATATTGTATTCATTTCTTTTTCTTATGCATTTGCAGCATAGATGAAAAATATATTTATATGATACAAATGAATCATACTTAAAAGTAGTGGAAATATACTGCCCATTTATTTTATAATTTTTTTGTTTGTTTTATGTAGTTACACATGACAGTACAATGATCTTGACATATCATACATTTGAATCAGATGGGATATAATTTCTCATTTTTCTGAGTTGCAGAATCACACTGGTCATGCATTCACATACATATACATAGTAATAATAATGTCTATTTCATTCTACTATCCTTCCTATTTTTTGAACATTGAATAGCTGTGATTTCTTTTAAGTTACTTAAGCTTGATGATCCTGATTTTTTAGTCTTTGCTTTCTTAAGTATTAGTTTTTGTATTTATGTACTACTTTTTATATTGAGTACATGGATCAAATGTTTAGTGTGGCAGTTGACAAAGTTCCCAGTTCCAGTGGAGAATTTTCAGGTGGTTAATGTATAATGAACCTTTTAGAGTAGTCATTCACCTTGCCAAGGGCAGATTTCTACCTCTTATTTTACTGTTTTTCCTTTTTCTGGGTTGCGGGTTGTTTGGAAGTGAGCTTCTGTTTCTTCTTTTTGATGGAGAAATATAGCTCCTGATCATGTCCGCCATGCAGTGCTTATGAGGTGGTGCACTGCAGCTATGGCACCATTTTAATGTTCCAGTTAAGGTACATGCTGAGCTCTAAGACGGGTGCAGTTTAACATTTTTTGCAACTTTTCCTTACAGGGATTTAGAGATGAACCCTATTTTAAAGAAGAACTTGTGGACGAGCCATTTCTAGATTTGGGAAATTCTTACCAATCTCAACAAAAAGAAGTAGACAGCAGCCAAGAAGCCTGGGAAATGCACGAATTTCTGACTCCTCAGTTGCAGGAAATGGGTGGAGAAAGAGAAATGCTTGTTGATGAAGAATATGAACTATATCAAAATCAATTTCAGTCTATGGAGTTATATACCTCTTCTAATGTTCAAGAGGCCACTCCTGTGCCCTCCAGGCAGGAACTCCACTTTGGTACACAGTGGTTACATGATAGCCACTCAGCTGGTGAACCACCGGAGGCTCAGAATGCAGGACCCATGATGAGCATGTACTCCCAGGGGACACAGCAGTACAGCTACAGCCCTGACCACACGGTGAGGCATTGTGACTTTGCTTCCACATCCTCCCCTCTGCACCCCCCGCCTATCCCTAACTCTCATAGCTGTTAAAAAAAAAAAAAGCAAAACATCAGCGGATCTTTTTATGATGGATGATTGCTCTAAGATGTACCACATTGTGTGTGGCCATGAGCATAAGTGTCTCTTGGGAATCTGTAAGCTTCACTTGCTTTGGTGTCACAGTGGGTTTCTTTCTGCTTTGCTTTTTAGTGATGTTTTTCTCTTGGTTTCTTGTTTCAAAGAAGAATTCTTTTAACATTTGTGATTTTCTTTTAAATTCCAATTATGGGAGAAAGTGGCTGTGTGTTTCTTACATGGTATATTTGTCAGGGAAAATCAAGGCAAAATTAATGAAAAACACATTGTATCTTTTTTTAAGGGGGATTGAATGTCTTTATTAAATAAATGAGTAAACAGCAGCACAAATCAGCAGCAGTAATTTTGGAAGGAGTGGGAACAAGGTGTAGGGGCAGAATGTCATTATTTATTTCATGGTCTTAAGGTAGCTTTAGAATTGTGCCTGAGGCCCACTGATTAGTGGTATCCTGTATTGCAAATGAGGAGGAGGCAAGACTAAATACTCAGGACCAAACCTTATGCCTTTCAGAAGGCTAAATCAGAACCTTACAAATTATTTTATTAGCAAGGTTTTTTCTTAAGATTTGAAATCTGATTTTCCTAAGCTAGAATTATCATCCCACAATTAGAGGCAAAGTTGTAAGTGAATAAGCTGAAGAACATCCTTTTGGACTATGGAGGCTGAAAAAAGGATCACAAGTTCAAGTCCAGCATGGACAACTTAGACCCTATCTCAAAATTAAAAAAATAAAATAAAATGGGCCAGGATATAGTTCAGTTGTAGAACACCCCTGAGTTGAATCCTCAATACTGTAGAAAACAAAGAACACTTTTTGGAAGGAAAAAGTTTCAACTATTTTGAAATGATTTAGTGCTTTCCCATATTTGCATTTTTTATAATGTATTATTTCCTCTTGTTTTATACCTTTGCCCCCAATTTCTCTGGGAAAAATAATGTATTATAAGAAGGAACAGAATTAAAAAAGAAGATAATCACCTTAGCATTTTGTAAACCATTCTGTTGTGGCAAATCATCTTAAAAATTAGAAGGTTTTCATTAACTCTGGGAAAAATACTTAATTTACTGGTAACCATAGAAAACTACAAAGGTTTGAGCAATCTTTTTCTTTTGTGTGGTGCTAGGAATCAAACCCAAGTTCTCACATGTGCCAAGCAAGTGCTTTACCCTCTGATTTGAGCAATCTTTGAAGCTGATTAAAACTGGAATCAAAACTGTCTTCCATTTTGTACTCCTTTATTACTCCCTGATGCCTCCACAAAGCCTGTTTTCTGGGGTTAATAATCCAGGGGGTGGGTATGGGATTTCTATGATCCAGTACTTGATTGCTTGAACCCTTTACTTTAGTTTAAGGGCTTTTGAAAGAAATGGAGTAGATAGATAAATAAATAAATAAAAATCAACTGGCAGATTCATCAGCACCACCACACAATAGAGGCTAGAGAATATGATTAATTTGGGAAAGGAATGAGAAGGAAGGGGTTTGAAAGAGAAGACAATAAGGGCAAGGTGGTGGGAGAGATAAGTCTTGGCCTTAGAGCAAATTCAATTCCAAGAAGTGGATGCTGGCAACGGGAGCTCTCCAGAAGTTGAAGGTTCTATACTCTAGGAGGGTACCACCTCCTGGGTTTTTCTCTTGCTCTGCTCCTATTGCTTGCCCAGTCATTTTGCCATTGCTGCTGTCCTTGATCTTGTAGGTGCATATATCTGACAGCCCCAGGCCTTCCAGCTCCAACAGATCCAGTTCTAATATAGGCATCCTCCAGAAAAGAAAGGAGCTGTACTGGCTACTCACAAGATCCCTCATTCTTTTCTGTTATCAATGAATTACTAGAATGTTCCAAAGACAGAGGGAGGGCCTCAGGGGCTCCTGGGTCAAGATGTCCACAACTCCTGTATACCTGGAAGGAGCAGCAGCCTTTCGGGGCTGCTGAGGCCCCTCTCATATTTCTCTAAATTGCAGTGCCTCAGCGGTCCTTGGGGAACCTATGTGCTCAGCTTGGAGCCGGCCAGGTTTCATCTACATTTTCTGTATCTTGGCCATTCAGTGTTCTCTGTGTTCTATGTGACTCAAAAGCAGTGTACACTAGAAAATCATCTTTGCGTTTGAGATACTGTCTATGTATAACCTGTCAGGAGAGTATTACATTTTAATAGGTTTTCCCTTGCTATTAAGTCACCAGTGAACTTTATTTTTTATAAAATTATATTTAACCAGACTCAAGTTGAAATCTTTTATTAGGGACTTTTATTAATGTTTTATGTTTATTTCCCACCCTGAATTAATTTTTAGGAAAATGAAAAGAAAGTTACTGAACAGGGATGCATTTAGAAAACCAGCTTAGCAGTGCACTCAGATGCAGTGGGCTGTGCTGCCTGCAGAGGCTGGCATCTTTCCCAAGGCCATGTGCAGACGGGCCTTTCTTTTCTCTCCCACAGGGCCAATGGAGGTGGTTTCTTCCCCTCTTGCCCTCTTTTCTCCTCCTGCTAATCTTTTGGGTCTGTCTTCTGGGCAAGATTGTTTGCTAGCTGCATCTATGGGACTCCTGAAGTAGAGGGCCCTGGGCACTCTACCAGGGAACAGATGTTTTTGGAATTTGTGTTGGTCCTGGAGAGGGAAGAGGTGATGCACAATGGACCAGTGTGTGCCGTTGACCCTGCTTGCCGCCTTTCGTCTTCGCCAGCTCCTCTCCTACATCCTAAGTGCTCAGCCCCAGATGAATTATGCAGTTATATTAGCAAGTTAGAATTAGAGATCACTGAAAATTCATAAATATCTACTTGTTATGGCTGTTTTTTCCTCTGTAAAAGAAAATTTTCTTTTCATTTAAATAAAAGGCAACTTGAAATATCAGTGCTTTTTAACATATAAACTTTTAAGGTTATAGATGAAATAGTTGAATATATATTCATAATATTTACTTAATAAGTTTAGTTAAACATTTGTATTTTAAAACATGTTAATTTGTTTTCTTATTCTCACACTTAATATTATTTTATTCAAATTCTTTCAATACATATTCAATGTCATACATTTACTACAATCACGTTTTTGATAATTTAACACAGTTTTACAAATATATCATCTTTCTTTCTAGGTATTTGAGACACAGCATTTTTGAATACATACTGTCACTCAAAATTTTATCCTTATCTAAAGTACTCATTTGCATAACATTACTATTTTATAAAAAATCCTTATCAGGTAATATAAATGCTTTTCCCAATGTAACCACTTACTGCATTGTTTGTGTTCTTTAAAACCTTATTCAACAGTTAGCACTTGCAATTTGAAGGTCTTGCATCCTAATTACTAAATCTGTGTTAAACTTCGTTTGCCCCCTTTACCAGTTCAGCCATATTTGCTTGTTAGAGCTGTTTTCTTCTACAAAAAGGAAATTTTCTATTTCCCCAAATAAGAGGCAATCTGAAACATGAGTCCCACTTAATATATAAACTTTTATAGATAAAATGTGTAGTGATAATTTTTTTATGTTTAAATGTATAGCCATATTTTTTATGTTTAAACATTCATATTTTTAAATCTGTAAAATGTTCATTTCTTGGCCTATTTTTAATTAATGATATTATTTAAGGTTATAGAACATTGATTATTTCAGCCCTAATGTGTCCTGAGCAGTTTTATTTTCTTTAAATAATTCTGGATTCTTGCTTGGGGTACTGATTCTTTTCCTCCCTTCCATAGTGATGACAGTTTATATCCACATTATCAGGGTGGGCTTGGGTTTTCATTTGTCCACCTTTCATTATTGATGAACCCTGTAATGATAATTTAATCTAATTTATCATTGGGTACAGGTTGAACATCCAAAATGCTTGACACTAGAAGTGTTTTGGATTTCAGAATATTTGGATATAGATATGGATATGTTGGGGATGAAACACAAGTCCAAATCAAATCCATTTATATTTTGGGTACTGGGGATTGAACCCAGGAATGCTTGTTTACCACTGAGCTACCTCCCCACTTCTTTTTATTTATTTAAAAAATTTTAATACAGAGTCTTGCTAAGTTGCCGAGGGCCAAAAGGTAATTTTGCCTATTATTTTTAGTATGCCTGCATTTTGATTGAGACTGTCATATGAGGTCAGATGTGGGTTTTTCCACTTGTTGTACCATATTCATGCTTAAAATTTTTCAAATTTTGGAGCATTTCGGATTTCAGGTTCTCAGATTAGGGATACAACACCTGTTACATTATGTAATTTTGCAAGCCCTGAGAGATTTTTAGAAATACATTCAAGTGTCTGATAAAATATGTGATTTTTAGTATCTACTTAGAGGGTGCCCTCCAAAAGAGTAGATTAAATATTATCATTTCTATGTTGGTTGTAATGTCCATTTTAGACTATAGATATTAGCAGTATTTGTACCTAACTGCTTTGGAGTTCCTCTTTCTCCATCACTCTCATACTTCAACTTAGTTGAAGGGTAAATCATGAAGTTTATAGATCTGGTTTTTTTTGTTTTGTTTTTAATCATTGGTAAGATACACAGAACACAATTGAATGTTTTAATCATTTTTAGGTATAACATTCAGTGGCCTTAAATATACTTAGATTATTCTTAGCCACCACTTCCCCTATCTCTAGAACTTTTTAATCTTCCCACTCTGAAGCACTTTACCTACTGAACAATAACTGGTATTTATCCCCTCTCTCATCCCATCACACCAACCACCATTCTGTTTTCTGCTTAAGAATTTGACTGCTTCATACAAGTGGAATGATATAATATTTATCATTATGCATCTGACTTTTTCATTTAGCACAATATCTTCAAGGTTCATCCATGTCATGCAGGTGTCAGAACTTCTTTCTTGGGGCTGAATCATGTTCCCTTTATGTATACGTCAAGGAGAAAAAAAATTTTCCTCTATGCTAGTGATTAAGACTTACGAGCATTAACAAGAGAAAAAGAAAGAGTTTCTATGGGGGTAACAAAGGGGTTTGCTTAGGAAGGGCAAATGTGGTGTTAGAACAAAAAAGAAATAAGGAGGTTAGTGAGCATGTTGATTTCTGCGGGTGTGAGTCCTGGGGTAGGCCCAGTCCAAGGGAGTTGATGACAGCCTTCTATTCCAGAAGTTACTACTTTAAATCCTGTTAGGGAAACTGTAAGAAGCCTTGTTTTGCTTTTTTCCTGCATCTGCCAAATTACAAATGTCTTTAGCTTAAAATAATCTTTTTTAAAAAATATTTTTAGTTGTAGATGGACACAATACCTTTATTTTATTTATTTAGTTTTTTTATGTGGTGCTGGGGACTGAACCCAGTGCCTCACATGTGCTAGGTAAGTGCTCTACCATTGAGCCACAACCTCAAGCCCAGCTTAAAATAATCTTTATATCCAAGAAGTTCCCCACGTATATACCACGTTTTGTTCTTTCTTTGATCTGTTGATGGATGTTGGGTTGTTTCCATCTTTGTTCCTTGTGAATAATGCTGCTTTGGACATTGGGGAATAAATATCTGTTCAAGTTCCTGCTGCTCTTCTGGGTTGTCAAACCAAATGATCAGAGTGCCTCTCCAAAGAACAGTGTTATTTATTTGGGAATGACAGAGCATTGCAATGGGAATACATTTGTCCTAGTAAACTGTTAGTGAGTGCAAGGAGTTTGAGGCAAGGGGAAGCTATTAAAAAGGGAGAAATTGCTTGGCACACACCTGTAATCCCAGCAGCTTGGGAGGCTGAAGCAGGAGGATCACAAGTTCAAAGCCAGCCTCGGCAACAGGGAGGCACTAAGCAACTCGGTGAAACCCTGTCTCTAAATAAAATACAAAATACGACTGGGGATGTGGCTCAGTGGTCAAGTTTCCCCTTAGCTCGATCCCTAATACTTCCCCCTGCCCCTCTACCCCCCGAAAAGGGGGGACAAATTGACACAATCTACTTGAATGCAAAGTTCACTGACTGGTCTTGGAGACCCAAGGCAGGAGTTGGTCAGCTCAGTAGTGGAGATGCCCATTGATAGAGGCAAACATTCTGTTAACAGCATGTTATCTAAATTGTTGCGGTCTTAAAGAATGTTCAAGATAAACTCTGTAACTGAAATTCGTGTCTCCTTGTAAGGTATGTAAAGCATGGGGTGCACTTAGAATGAAGGGGAAATATCTTTGGGGTTTTTAGAAAGTCTTTGAAAAAGCCCTTCTCTCAGACTGGGAAGAGCCCTCCTCCTTCTTAACTTCTCAGCTCCACATTGTCTGAGTCTGACAAGAATGCTTTGGTCTTGGTGTTGGACGTTCACCAGTATACAGGAGGGGTGGAATTGTGCAATCGAATGATGATCCCATATTTGTTTTGAAGAAACACCATTCTGTCTTTCATATTCCCACCAGCAGTGCAGTTTTCTGATTTCCCACATCTTGGCCAATACTTGTCTGCTAGGTGTGTGTGTGTGTGTGTGTGTGTGTGAAATACCATCTCATTGTGGTTTGGGTTTGTATTTCTCTAACTATTAATGATGTTGAAAATCTTTCATGTATTTAGAGGCCATTTTTATTTAATCTTTGGAAAAATATTTATTATAGTCCTTTGCCAATTTTAAAATATCTGGTTCTCATTTTCTGTGTATCTGAGTAATAACTCATAATGTAATTTTCATCTAAAAATATCTTTTTAGCCTCAGGATTATTTACTTGAGAGAATAATTGTTATTTTTGTCGTGATTTAGAAGGAAAATACTGAATTTGTTTACTTAAAGATTGAACCTTTCAAATGTACCATATTGAAACCTAGGTTTGGGTATCAATCATTTATTTATCAGTTACATTGCTATTAATTTTATTTTATTTATTTCTTTTGTACTAGGGATTGAACTCGGGGATGTTTTACCCCTGAGCTACACATCTAGTTCTTTTCATTTTTAATTTTGAGACAGGATCTCACCAAGTTGGCTGAGGCTGGCCTTGAATTTGAGGTCCTCCTTTCTCAGCCTCCTAAGTTCCTGGGCATGCACCATAACTATGCCTGGACTGCCATTAATTTTTCAAAAAAAAAAAAAAAAAAGCCGGTTTTGATACAAGCCCCGATTCTTTACTTAGGCCTGCAGGTGCCCAGTGGGTAGCTGAAAGCAGGATGAAGCTTGGCATATCTGCCTCCATCTTGAATCTGTTTCCTTCTTTACTTTAAAATTTGGATCAGGTCCCTGTTCAGCTCTGCACATAGGCTTGTTAATCATTTAATGGGTATTCACCTAAACAGCAGGCTACAGGGTTTATTAGCTCTAACTTTACCTAACCTATCTCATTCCCTTTCAAGGTCGAGGCAGGATTTGCTGCATCCTGTTTTACACCCCTGGAGTGGCACATGGAAGACTTCATTCCTTGTCCTACCCCTTCCAGAAAATCACCCCATCATCCTATGATGATATGCAGCCCCCCCCCAAACAGGAGTGATCAAATCATTGGAACCAAATTGCCCCTCCCCCATGCAGGGTCCTAGGTCCCAAAGATCAGCATCCCAAGCAACAAGTGGAAGCTTCAGGGCTTCTCTGGAGCCACGTCCCAGAACCAAAACCAAAACCTCGATCCACCAGACCACCATTTGACCAAGACTGCTTGACCCTTGTCCCCTGCCCCAATTCTTCTCTGTTTAAACCTGAAGCTCCTGTCAGCACCTCAAGACAGGGCCAAGATGTTGGCTCTTTCTTTGCCTTCCCAGCATGGCCATGTTGACTGAAGTTTTTTACTGCTTTTCACCATTACTTTTTCTGTTTGTTTTTTTGGGGGCAAGTGGGTCCCCCAGAGTCAGGCCTTTGGCCTAGGTCTCTGCTAATAGCTTATTCTTATTTATTTTATTCAAGACAACTAAGTAGTTAATCTCCTTTCTTACCCCTACATAATATTTGGGTTGAATTCTATGTTCTTTAGGCTCCTTTGGGTATCTGAAGTGATTATGTCCATATTTATATTCAAAATTTATTTGAAAAAAGCCTGTAGTATTTAGTATACCATTTCACAAGAAAACCTTCTCTTACCATTGAAGAGAAAGAAGGTTCAGTGAAGTCTGGTTATGATTTTATAAAAAAAAAATTTAGAAAGGACCATTGTAAAAAATGTAATTCATATTTTTGTTTTGCATAAGCAAGATTTCTAACAATGAAGAAGTATTATTTGGCCAGAAGTAGTGGTGCATGCCCTATAATCCTAGTGGTTCAGGAGGCTAAGGCAGGAGGATCATAAGTTCAAAGTCAGCCTCAGCAACTTAGTAAAGCCTTAAATTCCTTAGCAAGACCCTGTCTCTAAAGATCCAAAAAAGGACTGGGGATGTGGCTCAGTGGTTAAGCGCCCCTGGGTTCAATTCCTCCTAATCCCCCCCACCCAAAAAATAAATAAATGAATAAATAATAGTGTTATTCATCTTAAGTGAATTAAGATAGATCTCTATGGTGACCATAGAGTTTAAATTCATGCTTACAAATTTTTAAAAATATATAATAAAGTATGTATGAAAATTTTATGTTCTATATCTTAGTCTGTGTGTACTGCTATAACAAAATACCATTAATTACCTGTGTAACTTACAAATAACAGAAATTTGTTTTTTCACACACTTCTGGAGACTGTAAAGTACAACATCAAGGGGCTGGAAGATTCTGTATTTGGGAGGGCCTGATTTCTGGTTCATAAATGCCATTTTCTAACTGCTTCATAACATGATGGAAGGGGCGAGGGCCCTCCCTCTGAAGTCTCTTTTATGAGGGCACTGATCTCCTTCATGAAACTTCCACCTTCATGACCTAGTCACCTCACCAAAGGCCCCGCCTTGTGACACCTTTACCTTGAGGCTACAGGGGCAGAAAACCTCCATTATCATCCTAGCAGGGTCATAGAATTAAATCAACATAGGCTAGGTTAACAGAAGGAATGAAAGCAAATTTATTTCACAAATTTCATGTGGCACAGGAGCCCTCATAAAGAAATGAAGACTCAAAGAAGCAGTTAGAATCTATTATTTGTGTCCTGGATTGGTAAAGGGTAATAAACTGTGAAAATGTGACCAGATCATGGGAGGAGGCTTAAAACATAAGTTCTTCTAATGAGGTCTGTAAGGGATTCTGTCTCAGTGTCTCATCTTTGAAGATACAGATGTTGACTTTCCTTCTAGTTTAGGGAGAATGGCATCTTTCACACTGAAATATCTGTTTTTGTCTTCTGTGGCCACGAAACAGCATGAAGGACACAGTGATCTTCTGTGTTTCAACTCCTTTTGATTTAAATAGTCAATGTATGAGAAGAGCATATTTTAATCCCTTCCTAAGTTAGGACTTCAATGTATGAGTTTTAGGGGGTCACAAACAGTTTTAGCTTTCTGGCAGATTGTAACTTCAGAGAACCAAGAAAGCGTTCGTATATAAAAGGAAAGTGCTGTGAGTTAGGTTTATATCCAGGTTTTAGGTTTTGGTAACTAGATGTTCACTAGGCAGATAAGAATGCTAGGGGAGGCAGAGCACAGGCTTAGAAATATGAAAATTTGCAATTGTCTTTTGGCATCAACAGTGAAGCTATTTAAGTTGTGGGCATCTGAGCAGCATGATCAGGAGATTGTGTGCTTCCATAGGATTGATCGTGCTTGTGATGGTAGATGGATTTTTTATTCCTCCATCTTGGTATATGTTTATTTAAACCTACTTATTAATGTTTCCAAAACAAAATTTTTGTTGGAAATCTAGTGTTTGGAAAAAATAAGTTTTACTAGCCTTACAGACACTGAGTAACCAGGATTTGTCACTGCTTAGCACAGCATACAGTATCCTACGAGCAAAACTGTTTTTAGGTCCAGTTCTCCACTTTTATTATCTGGTTTGAATAGCATTATGATGTTCCGGATTTATTCATAAAGTACTAATGCATTTCTACTTTTCTTCCTCTCAAGATGAAAGAACATTTTGGCATTGATTCCCTCCCATCCATATCCTCAACTGATGGAGATTGTCAACATAGCAGATTTGATGACATGGAAAATCTTAGTTCATTAGCAAAAAGCAGTCTGGATTTAGGTATGTGAGTTTCGCTTCTTATAAGCACAAATTATATTATTTGCAATCTTTATTTTGTATACAAAATGGATTTCACAGTCATACTTTGATTCATTATGATGTTTTAAACTTAAATCTGTTTATTAATCTGCTTCAGAATATGCAAAAGAATAACCATGACTCAGATTTCCACTTAGAATTTTCAGATTCAGTTTTCTGAGAGGGCTACATTTTCTGAACCTCATTTTTCTTTTTATTAGAAGTATGGATTAAAACTAAAACTAGTTCCTTACACTGAAATAAGTTTCTAATATATGTTAAAATCTCTAATGCTATTAAGTGGTATTGTTAGATCACTGAATGGGGTGGTTAAATATTAATAAAGAGAGGCATATTTTAAACATTTATGATACATTTTATAGCCATATATTACAGTCAATTTTAGTACATTAATAACTTAGTTTCCATTAAAGATTTCTAAAAGTATTGTGTCTCTCCTTGCCTCTCTTTAATATCAGCTCTCAGCTACTTTTGAAAACTTGATTTTAAAACATAATTGTTCTTCATTCAACACTGAAATATTGAATGTCATTATAATATTAACATCCCTAGGTGAGCTGTATAGTTCCTCCATGCACTGGGATTTACAGAACTACTGTTCAGGATTTATGCTGTCTTTTACCTGTTACAGCTCTATGTGAGGAAGATTCTTCCTTACGGGCATTTCTCCTATTAAGAGATGGTTGGGGGGGGGGGGGAGAGCTGTAGAATGTGATGTAACTGTTTTATATGAGATCAGAATTCTGTTATGTAATATCTGCAGAGTGGAGTTCTCATGAGCTGGTAACACCTGTCAGTTCCCTGTGGGTCAAGACAGTGCATGGGTGGTTACTCTTGAATGTCTGTGACTAGATGTGTCTATCCAATTTTTCAAGATCATATATACTTGGGTGAAAAAAGTGCCTTTTGTTTTTTGGCTCTGAAACACTCCAGACATACTACATTGTAAATTCACATTTCTATGATTCTCTGACTACTGAATCCTTGGACATGAGACATAAAATAACATAAATGAATAGGCTATCTGTTTGACTTCCATTGGGTCTTTGTGGCAGTCTTGTCACTGTTTAGGACCAGATCTTCTTGTGTGGGGGTGAGCGGCTCCCCTGTGCACTGCAGCATGAGTAGCTACTTCCCTGGCCTCCACCACGGAGGGCAGTGACAGTCCCTCTCCCAGTCTTGATCAAAATCAGAATGTCTCCAGACATTGCCAGATGTCTCCTGGAGGGAAAACTGCCTCTGTGGTTGTAACCATTGCTTTATATCCTCAGGACTGAGAGGAGGAGACTGGATATATGGGTGGGTGTCTGGGGAGTGATGCAAGGGGTAGTTGGGAAGAAGATAGGGGATGATCCAGTTAATTGGATAATCCAGTCCCATTGATCTGAGTCCTGCTTTGCATATCTTCTGAGTGAGTCCCGAGTTCCTTCATATGCCTTCTGCTGCCTGTGTTAGTCTCTTATGAAGATGTAACAATCTACTACAAACCTGATGGCTTTAAACAGTAGGCCTACTTTCTCACTGTACTGGAGGCTAGAAGTCCTGCTTCAAGGTGCCATCAACACCTGTGAGGGCTCTGGAGAAGAACCTGTTCTTGGCCTCTCTCAGATGCTGGTGGCTTCTGTGTTCTTTGGCTCACAGCTGCATCAGTGCAGTTGCTGCCCCTGTCTTCATGTAGCTTTTTTAGCCTCATCTGGCTCTTCTCTTCTGTCTCATAAGGACATCAGTCATTGGATTTGGGGCCCACTTGTGTAATCGAGATGATCTCACCTCAAGATCTAACATTCATCTGCTAATACCCTGTTTGCAAATCAGGTCACCTTTTTAGGTCTGGGACATATCGTTTGGGTGGGAGGCACCATTCAACCACTACATTGCCTTAATCTGTTACTTTTCAAGACCCTAGGTATTCATTCTTCGAGATTATAACTTTGGGAATGATGCTAAATTCATACATCTTAGACCTGAAAACACTTACTTTTAGGAAAAACTTTGAGAGCCTCCACAATGTTGTATGTTAGGCAGGAATATTTAGATTAGTGCTAACCATGGTGGGTTGAGGGATTATCGGTACAGAGTTGTTAAAAATTTCATCGGCATGTGTATTGAGTTAATTCTATTCTAATTCTCATTTTTCTCTTGAGATCTCTGTCCAGCAAATATGACTCTACTTCAGTCCCAGGCCCCTCTGTACTAAGCTGTTAACTTGCCATGTCACCAGGCAAGCCCCTGGCCTCTCCACACCTTTCCATTTCCTCAGTTGTGAACTGAAGGATTTGGTCTAAGTGTTCTCTGAGGCTCCTTTCAAATCCATAGCTTGTTATCTACTCTCTGAGTAACAGACAATCTTAGATTTATCTATAGGACAATCTAAAAACCATTTTTGAGAACCTGTGTTCTAAGGGCTATTCTTGACCCTGAGATTAATCCAAAATGATGTATAACTATGGACTGGTTATGTAGCTCAGTGGCAAAATGCATGTTGGGTTTAAGCCTTAGCACCACTAAAACAACAATAAAAAAAACCCAAACCAATATTGTGTTATCTTTAAGGTTCTTATACTCTTCATGAGCTATGAAACTACACCTACAAAATCACATGGCTAATAATATAAGGCATACAAGCTAAATTCCAAAGAGTAATACACTTGGTGTAGCAGGATTTCAAACAGAAAGTAATTCCATTTTCCTGTCTCCTACTGCCCTGTCCTGGAATGTACCTACAGTGGCCTTGGATGAATTTCCACCATTGGCCCCAAGAGCCAGTGCATGTACTCATCTGCAGGCCTGTCTTGTGCTGTATACTAAGCTTCTGAAGGACAGGATGTATCTGATTCTGTTACCATAGTATGCACTCAAGAAACGTTTGTTCAATGAGAAAGTGATATACTGCTCTTGGAGTTATTCCGCAGCATGCCAACCCTCTAATTTTTTTTCTTTCATTTGCTCAGTTAGACAGTCACCCAAACCCCCCTCTACTTGTTTTCTTCTTGCCTTTTTTTGGTACCATTCTGACCAAGTAATAAACCTTTTGAAAATTACCCCCTTTCTCTCCTGTAAGCATTAACTTCCATTTATCCAGAAGTTTTTTTTTTTTTTAAAGCTTCCCTGTTTTTCTAACCTCTGTGCCCCTGTTTTGGCCATTACCTAACAACTGGAGAGGCCCTCCAGGACGTGATTTGTTTTATGGGCTCCTGGGTCCTGTGGTGCACTTGGAGAACAGCTCTGTAAAGTGTGTGTCAAGCACTGTGAGAGGTGAGAAATGTGTGCCTGAGCACCCACAAGGGTACATCGAGGAGGCAGTAGAGCAAAGGGCACGGGCAGCCTTTGCATGCAGTGGGTAATGAAAAGTTTAAACAAACTGCAGAACCTGTGCAGCCTAACTGTGTAATTTAATTTAACAGACTGCTTTTACCAACAAAGCTGCATGGGAAATAGCTCTGCAAATAGAACCAGATCCCTGGTCTTAGGCCTGGTCTCTGGTTTTAGGCCATCCTGCCTGAGTCTTGCCCCCACCTCCAGGCCCTCTTCAGTGTTTGTGCTTTCTCAAAATAAAATGAAGTATAGAAGCTACATTAGACCTTTTATCTTTATCACATTTTCTAGCTTAAGTTCTGTAAGAAAGTTTTAAAAATTCACAAGAAGCATCAAATCAAATAATAGATGTCTATAATCTTAATAAGGATTACAATTTACTTATCATTTCGATCAAAGCTATGCTATTTACTATTATCCAAGGGTTATGGTTTGAACCTGGAATATCCCAGAAAAGCTCATGTGTTGAAGACTTGGTCCCCAGGCTGTGAAAGAGGCAGCTCAGAGGTGGAGCTCTTAGGAAGTAATTGGATCATGAGAACTCTGACCTCACTGATGGATTAATCTACTGATGGATTCATTGCTGAATGGACTATTGGTAGGAGATGTGACCAAGTTAAAAGGCATGGGTCCTTGGGGGTGTGCCTTTGGACTGTCCCCAGACTCATTCTGTCTCTGTTTCCTAGACACCATGAGGTGAGCAAATTCACCTGCCAGGATTCTCTGCCTCATGAGAGGCCCACAGCACTGGACCCTGTCAACCATGGATTCAAACCATGAGCCCAAATAAATCTTTCCTCCTTTAGTTGATTTTCTCAGGTATTTTGTCGCAGTGACAAAAAGCATATCAATCAATATCATAAGCATAACATATCAATCCTGTAAAATAGTATTTCATCATCTTCCTTATATTTGAGCTTTCATTCAACACTTTAATCACATAATTGGTGATGTTTTAAAATTTCTTCAGAGAACAAAAATTTCAAAGAAATATTTTGCAGGAAAAACTGTTTTTACCTATGCATCCTGTGAAGCTGTGCCGTAAACCCCAGGGTAAGACTCCTGAGGGTCCTCCCCAGGCACCAAGGCTGCCTGCTGCTGGGCCCTCCTGGGTTCTCCATTGCTCGTCTTGTACTTCACTCTATGCTGAGTTGTGCACACTCACCTCTTCAACAGCACTGCTTTTCTATCTGTAATTATTGTATTTTCTAGAAGAAAATGGAGAACAACAAATAATTCCTTAGGTTTCTGTAAGATTTGCCAATACCTTACAAAGCACTTTGTATGTAGATTTTAGTCTCTCTCTGCATTGTTTGACTAAACAGAGCTATTTTAGGCTCCCTATTAATGTTGTTTGAATAAATACCATTCCCAGATCACAAAAGGTGTTTAATCAGAAGTCTCAAACCACTTTTCAAAGTTATAAAAAATACACATGTTCTTTAAATGGGCAGAGTGATGCAAATAACTGTTATCCGTGCTAATAATAACATAAGCTGTGAACTTTTTTGATTTGCTTTCTACTTAGGAAAACAATATATTCATCTTTTTTTTTAACTTAAAAACTCAGTTTTCATTTATTAAACCAGTGTCATATTTACTTATATACAAAGGTGCTTTCTGGGTGGTTTCTGTATAGGAATCCTGAAGGTAGAATTGTGAACAAAGTCAAGTCTGTTCCTGGAGCTTACGCTCTGGTGCGGGCAGAACATAACACATCTGTGTGTGCCATGGTATGGGTGGTGAGGGAAATCAAGCAATGTAAGTGGATACAGAGTGGAGAGGGGTGCTATTTTATATGGGGTATGTGGTGCAGAGTGACATTTGATGGGGAAGTGAATAAATAAGTGAGGCCTCTGTGAAGATATTTGGGTAAGACGAGAAAACAATAAGACTGTGCAGATTAGCACAAAGTAGATACAAAAATTATCTGCAAAGGCATTCGTGATTTGGTTTATATCCCTCCAATTTTTTCTAGTCCACATGAAAAAATTTTGGTGTACCTCTTCTTTGGCTCCTCTCAGCTTCCTCCCTCCAAATCCCTCCCAGATCTGTGTGTGTTTGTTTGTTTTTTAAATACAATAAAACCATTAAATTGCAGCCTGATTCCCTATTCATGGAAAATTGTTGTGTGGAATCCCATGTATGTTTTGTACCTTGTGCATTATGTTATGTTCATATAGTTGCATGTGAGGATGTGTGTAGACAATCTATGCAGACTTACATATACACTTGTGCTTCACAGTATGCTGACCTTAACCTGCTACATCAGCACATGTTCTGTTCTGTTGTGGTGAGACAAAAGAAACTCCCTCTAGTTTATTATAGCAAATGTAAAGAGAAAAGCATGACTTATAACTTTTTTTTAATTAATATGGAAATTCTACAATATAATGCCTAGACCTAGGGAAGAATGTAAGAACTAAGCTCCAAAGCTGTTCCCCTCAGCAGCACATCCCAAGCTTATTATGCCAACCATCCTAAGAAGAAAACAAAATTAATAAGAATTTTACAAAAATGTTTTGTGGTAAATGTTTAAATAAATTGTGGTCACCTACATACCATACAATTTTAATCACCAGGTAAAAATTGGCAAAAATTCCCAAACCTGAGTTTCTTCCTATAAGACAGTTGATGATGTCTTTTCTTCCTTTTAGTTCAATGTGAGAACTAAGTAAGATAACTTTTAAAAATGTAATGTTTAAAAATATAAATGTTTTAATTTGGTTATTAGTTATTCCATGGACTAATTTTTTTTTAAGTGTCAGAGTACCTATAATTGGGACAGCCTTCATTGATAAAGGGAAAATTTACAGTAAGATTAGGAAACTATCATAGGAAATTATTTTGATAAAACTAATACATATATATCATATATGTATATATCATATACGTATATTTGTGTATACATAAAATATATGTATATGTAATATATTTATGTATACATGTTTTTGAGTGAAACCACATTTAAATTGTAACCTTTTTCTACTCTGCAGTCCTTTCACTTTTCACCTTAGTCCTTACTACCACCTGACTTTGCATCTTTGTTTAATATTTCCTAGCTGAAATCGTGCCTACCCATAGTGGCTGCCCTAACTTACTGAATGCCCAAAGGATAAGTGACTATGTCTTATATTTCCTATTGTCTGGATTTGCTCTTCAGATTTGATGATTCCAAATGATGTCCAAGGTCCTAGTATGCTTACTGATCTTCCTGCTGTGGCTCCCAGAAGGGAACAAGAAGATTTACCTTTATACCAACTGCCCAGGACCCGAGTTGTTTCAAAGGCCTCTGTCTACCCAGGAATGCTGTCTTCTAGATATGCTACCGATGCATGGTACAGTATCATTTCGCCTTGTTTTTATGTTACAAAATAGGGTTTCTCCTGATTTTCATTTTTGGATGTTTTTGTTTGTGAGTGTGTGATTTCTAGAAAATGCATGATTTTGGTGCAACACTTGGAAAATAAAATAAAAATTATGACTAAGTCTATTATATTAGATAATCACTATGAGATTTCACATAGTAACCAAAATTGGGCCATGCATATAATTTTATATTTTTGTGCACACAATGGATTTTAAAGAATATTTTCTTATAGAACGAAGATTAATTCAGAGTTCATGTTAATAGCACAGGCAAATACATTGAGGACAAATTGAGAGGGTGGACTTAAAGAATCTCTAGGAGGTGGCAACTTGGTAAGCATAGAACAGTTTCAGTAGAGTTTACAGGGAGTAAGTGAGTAACTGCTTCCTCCTACTCATACACTTTATGAGTAGGAGGAAGTAGTGAGTATGGCTTTTGTTTCTAGAGTAAGAAACTGGATGGACAGTGGGACATTAATTCTGTGATCAAGATCATAGGAGCTCATGGTTGGAAGGGAAAATGATGAGTTCCCTGTGGGACATGTCACATGTAGAAATATCCATAGGAGCACAAAGTGAAATGAAGACCATTAGACACATTAGTCTGGGGACTATTATTGACAACTGTCCTGATGCATATAATTGGCAGCAAGGTCAAATATATGTGAAACTCCAGCATTTGAATGGTCATCGAGGGGAAGCTCAGACAGTAAGAACATAGGGCCCAGATCAAAGTCCAACAAAACAGTAGGATTTAAGACATTGGAGGAAGAAAAGAGTAAGGGAGAGTGAATAAAAGGTAGAAGAAATTGGTGAACTTTTGGTGGAATTTGAAACCAAGAGCACTTTAACAAAAGGATCACCACAAAATATGGTCACAATGTACAGACAGGTCAAGGTAGATAGAGCAGTTTTCAGTGTCACATGGATGCCCTTGGTAAGCATAGAACAGTTTCAGTAGAGTTTACATCAGTGAGTAATGGGTTGAGAATGGAACAGAATATTAGAAATTGGAAATTGTAAGAGTAGACTATTTTAAGAATCCTTGTCATGAGAAAATACTGATAGAATGCATGTTACCTAGGTAACTCTAGGGCAAGTGGTAGGTTTTACATATCTATAACTACATACATATGTAAGTACATGTTCATTAAGTATTACTAATTCATATATAAATGAATAGATAAATGAAACTTGAGAGCATTTTATTTGTGTCTAGCAAATGAATATCTAGATGCTAGAAAGGGGTGATTAAACAGTCTTTGAAGATGGTGCTAGGAGGGGATGATATTGCATACCTATAGAAATTCATCTGTTAGAATTTGATGAAAGGAAGCTTACCTTCTCCACTGAGAAAGGGGCCAGGTTTGAAAGGAAGGTACAAATATGGGTACTTAAAATAACTTGGGACAGGAATCTAAAATTCTTTTCCAATGAGTATTTTTTTTTCGGTCATTTGAGAGGCTATTTACTAAGAATGGTAGGGTGCTACTAAAGTGGGTGGTAAAAGGAGAGATATGGGGCTGGGGATATAGCTCAGTTGGGAGAGTGCTTGTCTTCCATTCACATGTCCCTGGGTTCAATCCCCAGCATCATAGGGGGGGTGGGAGGAAGAGAGAGAGAGTTATGGTGATGGAGACAAGCTTTTGAAACAAGGATAGAAGTTAGAAAAATATTGACCCTCTTTTCTGGCTCCCAGGGAGTGGGAGAATGAGCATCAGCCACTTGAGTGTAGAATCTCTGACAAGAACCACAACTGTTGAAGAGGGCTACAAATTACATGCAGCAAGATGGCAGGGGATAGGAGGTTTGTTTACATACTGAAGAGACGCCATGCTGTGATGGACCAGTGGGGCAGGCCTTGGGATGCCATATGGCAAGGGAGAGCATCTGAGGACAAGCCTCAGGAGTTGTTTTGGTATTGGCATAGGAGGAGGCATCTTAGACTTCAGTGATGTGTATTTCACTGTTCTGCAACTCGTGACCTTTGCCCAGAGTTTTAGATAGAAGATTCATAACAAGTTTTTTTTTAATTTTTTTTTTTTTTTTTTTTTTAAGTTTTCAGCAGATACAACATCTTTGTATGTGGTGCTGAGGATTGAACCCGGGCTGCACGCATGCCAGGCAAGCGCGCTACCGCTTGAGCCACATCCCCAGCCCACAAGTTGTTTTCTATGCATAACTCATCTCTGAAGGGAATGAAGGATGTAGAAAGGCCCAGCTACTTAGAGGGATCTGTTGGCTTTTTCACTCAGTAGAAACAGGCCAGAGTCACAGGAAAAGTACTGTCAGGTCCAGTGTCCTAAAGTGAAAAGTCCTGACAGTCCTCAGAGGAATACATGGTGACAAATAATGGATTTCATTCCTTAAGAGACATGCCTGAAGAAAAGTTAGGAGCATAGTTTATAAATTTCTGTGTAGCCCAATTACTCTTCAAATGTCATACACTTGATTCTTCGGTTTCTCTTGTACTTAGTGTAAATAGTTGAATCTCAAAGAACTCAAGAAATGAAACTACTTCTCTAAACTGTAGAAATTGGAAAATATCTAAACACATGTCCAAGCCCACCCACCTTCCTTGCACAGAGAAAAAATTGAGGCTGTCAATTCTCCCAGCCTCAGGAAGGAAGCTGTGCTTTTCTCCTGTCCCATTGCTTTTTCTCCTCGAATGAATACTTTGACAAACAGATTTCATATGCAGGCACAAGCATTTAAGGACTCCAGACTGACCTTTGTCTTAGGAAATCAGTCTTGCATTTGAAAGTGTTTTTTTTTTTTGGCTTGCTGTCAGAGATGTAGGATATATTTAAATCTCAGCAGGTTCTAGAAGAGTTCCCATAAATCATACTCCCCCTTCTTAATATTGCAAGGTATGCCTCATGGAGTTAGGTTCACAGGTGAATATTTATTGCCACTCAGAATTGGAGGATGGTCTTTAAGATAATCAGGGTATTATGTAGCACTGAATGGCATTTTAGAGTTTCTTCTTTGCCTTAATATTTTGTAGGACTCTGCAGAGGGGTGTGTGTGTGTGTGTACACCTATGCTTGTGTGTTTGCTAAAAGTAAGGATTCAGTGACTGATATTTAGTGTGTACTGTGCTTTTGATCAAGCCAACTTGTTACCTTTAGAGGCAGAACTAGGATTAAGAGTCCCAAAGTACCTCGAAGCTTAGTGACTTCTACAATGGGCACCGTGGGAGGGAATCTAGATGAACTTGCTCCAAGTACCCTTTTCCTTAGGCTATTTGAGAACATGTCTTCAGAACTTCTAGGTTTCAGTTTCTCTTCCTCATCTCTGCCATCACCTGCTGCCTAAAGGCATATGGGTGCCCATAGTGCGGGGACAAGGGTGTTTCTCAGACTAATAGGTCTACAGTATGAATACATCATAGATACCGTTCAAATCTTTCTTCTGTTATTTGCGTGACTCAGAGATTTTCCTGTGTGCCTGTATTTCCTTACCTGTAAAGTAAGCCATTCTATAGGTTAAATAAGAATATAAATACATGACTTACATTATTTACTTGCTAACTGTATGTCAGTAAAGCTGGGAAAAAATGTATATAACAGGTTAATGCAATGCCTTGCCCATAGTAAATTTTCAATAAAAGGCTGGCGGTAATAGTGGTGGCAATAACAATGATTGGTTCATGGGCCTTGATGTGTTCTCTGGGTAGTGTCGATTGCTGCTGAATTTATTAAAAGGAGATTGAAGATTTCGTTTCTAAATTGAAGATCAAACCATAGTAAAGGAAAGTGTCAAAGACACGGGAAGGATAATGAACTTAAGATGAAAAACTTGTATTTAAAATTGAAAATTATTGGGCTGGGGATTAGCTCGGTTGGTAGAGTGCTTGCCTTGCATGCACACAGCCCTGGGTTCAATCCCCAGCACCAAAAAGAAAGAAAGAAAAAAAAAAAAAGGAAAAAGAAAGACATTATGCTGTGGATATAACAGGATGAAAATGAACAGAAATGGTTTCAGGCATTTAAGACTTTATTATGCATAGAAGGTGGAGTAGGAGGCAGGATGTCATAGTTGGGGAAAGAATTAAATAAATTAATGTTATATTTTACGTCACCAATACAGTACCTGGCATTTAGTGCCTTTTAAATGAGTGGTGGCTATCTAATAGGTTTATCTTTGAATTCAACTTCCCAAAATTATGTGTAAATCCAGAACATTGGTAAGAAATCTAAGGATAAATAAGTATATTTGAGAGAGGGCTACCCTTAAATGTCAAAGTTGGAAGGAAAAGGGAAAGTGAAGCACGGGAGTATAGCACAGTGGTAGAGTGAGTGCTTAGCATCCATGAGGCCCTGGGTTTAATTCTCAGTACTCCCAAAAAAGGGGGTTACCAGGCAGTTTATAGCCTCATGTATGTGATACTTGCAGTTCTTTCTTGCTGATTTTTTTTTTTTTTGGTACCATTGTTGAACCTATAAGCACTTAACCACTGAGCCCCTTCCCCAATATTTTTTATATTTTATTTTGAGACAGGGTCTTGCTAAGATGCTTACGGTTAAGATGCTGAGTTGCTGGGACAGGCTATGAACTTGTAAACCTCCTGTCTCAGCCTCCTGAGCTGCTGGGATTTGGGCACGATCTTCTGTGTCATGTGACACTTTGTAGTTCTTAAAATGCTACTGCAGGCCAAGATGAGAGTGAAAATTTAAGATGAAGATTTATATAGAGGGGCTGGAGATGTGGCTCAAGCGGTAGCGCGCTCGCCTGGCATGCGTGTGGCCTGGGTTTGATCCTCAGCACCACATACAAACAAAGATGTTGTGTCCACCGAATACTAAAAATAAATATTAAAAACATTTTTTAAAAAAAGATTTATATAGAAATAATACACTAATGCCATTGAAAATAAAAATTAGATGTCTGATTACAAATCCAGGTTCTACAGAACATTGGAAGAGAAGTAAGGTTGACCCGAGGAAGCAGTTTGCCATGTATGACT